TGATTTAGTATTAGCTTAGCCTTTATGAAGCTTCCTCTTTCTTAAATCAGAATTTTTCCAGCTCTTTCTAATACATAAAAAAACCTTTTTTTACCTTGCCTCTGCTCAAAACGGTTGGAGTAGTATAGAACTTTTCGTCCATTTTTCGTGGGAATTTTGGTAGAAATATATTGTTGATGCGGCAACACTGAAAGTCAGCAGAGTAAGCGACAGAGCACTGCGAGTGCCAAGCAGAGGCATAAAGAAATTGGTTCTATAAGTACTTAGAACTGCATGTATTGTGTAGTGTTAGTTTGCAATAAATTTTGTATGTATGTTTTTGTTATTGTGCATGTATGTATGTATGCCCTGCAAACCAATTTTTCAGAGTATTTTGATTTGTAGAGAAATTTTAAAGATTTTGTTAAGATCTCATCCGATTTTTCCGCGAATTTTCTAAAATGAAATAAACTGCGCACACTTCTAGTATTTTACGAAAGTTCGGAAGAAAATCGGCAAAGCAATGAAATTATTTTCTTCTTGCACAATTTTTTCAGAATTTTCTTAATTTTTCGTACAGAAATTTCTTTAGGGTTTCGTGTCAACCACTTCATACAATTTTCTTTGAAGATTCGTAAAAAATCGTTACAGAAATGTGAAACTCCCAGTGATTTCGCTAAGGGAACCTTGGTTTGCAGGGTGTATGTTCTTGAATGCAAAATAGTTTTTTTTTTTCAAAAGCGTGTTGACGTTTTCGCATTTACATTTTTATCGCTTATCCGTAGCATGAAGTAGCGTCCTTTGTAGTAAACTTTGGCAATACGCGGCCAATAGTAATGAGCCACAGTCGTCTTATTTCGCAGCACCACAATACCACTTGGCGTCAGACCCAGAAAATATTCGACGCTGTCCTCGCCCTGTTGAGAAATAGAAGCAAACAAGAAGAAGAATTATAATAAGTTAAAAAAAGAGTGTAAGAATGTTTTTTACTATACTCTTATATTAGCAGAAACTACTTTGAATATCTTAAATAACAACAACAACAAGTATGCTGAATTATAATGCAAGCGAAAGCTGTAGGAAAGAAATCCTATAAAAAAACCCCCACCCGATAAAATTGAGAGCTTGCTGTAAATAGCTTTTCGCACCACTGAAAAGCAAGCTGAAAACTTTTGCTTCGTCCAAGCGTGCCAAGTTTTGTAAAGAGGTTATTAAAATTCAATAAAGTTATTAGCTATGTTGTACGCGACAATTCACCATCAGGCCACTCCAGCGTGCCAACCTGTTGGACAGGGAAGCTGGTTGCCTGCAGTCTGATGACGGTCATTATCAGTACATTTTCCGCCAAAGTTTTTGCTCACAACACCTTGACTTTTTTTTTATAAAATTCCTTTTTTCCTCTTTGCTGTCGCATTTGACCTTTCAACAAGCGGACAAATAAAGCAAAAAATTAAAAAAAAAAATCGCAAAAGACTTGCTCAGGCTTGACTACTAAGTAGTAATTGATGCTGGTGATAATTCCACGTGAATTTACTTACAAATTCCTTTTGACACTTTTTGCTTCTTTGAACCTATTTTTTGATATTTCGTTGCTTTTGGTTTGAAAAGAAAGTTTGCACTTTTTTCTCTTTATTTAAATACGGGGAGTAGATAGGTGATTGAATTTCCTTTCACTTGGGCATAAAGACCCCAAGGCCGTGATTTAGTGAATAGATCTAAAATATAGCGTTTTCAGTTTAAATGAAACCATTTTCAAATTAAGTGAAACCTTTTTCAAATTAAACGAAACCCTTTTCAGTTTAAGCGAAACCATTTTCAAATTAAATGAAATATTCTTAAAAGGAAGTTTCATTGAATCTGAAAAACGTTTAATTTAATTTGAAAATGGTTTCGCTTTGTTTGAAAATGGTTTTATTTAATTTGAAAAAAAGTTGTATTTAAACTGAAAATGCTATATATAACTTTGAGAACCTCTACTCTTATCTCATCCTTCGTGCACTCAAGGCAATGTGAGCAATCCATGGGTGAGATGGAGCATATGGAGCCTTGGGTTACGGCAGCAGCCAGATGATCTAAAATCTGCTGCTGATGGCAGCAGAGTCGATGAAGGAAATGTGATAGCAGACGCGCAAAGCACTCTGTAGATATGAAGGAAACGCTTATCACCGCTGTTGAATGGCTACACAGGTGGCGCGTTTAACGAAGAAGGATTCATACCAATGTATCAGGGTGAAGCTAACACTCCTGCACTCGATCTAGATTAGGTGCGAATAGCAGTAATGCGGCCTAGAAACAAGAAGCTCGCCGGAGCCGACGAAAAGTCTTCCAAACAATGCATATCGGATTCTATTGTTACGTTTACAATACTAAAGACCTTCATAAACCAAGTGATTTTTTTTTTATAATGTAAAGGACCTTCCAAACAATGCATATCAGATTCTATTGTTACGTTTACAATACTAAAGACCTTCATAAACCAAGTGATTTTTTTTTATAATGTAAAGGACCTTATGTATGTAGATAAGCAAATCGGCTCTAGGCAATTTTTTGTCGACTAGAAGCCTATTTCGGCAGCACGAAGAGAACAAGGCCTTACACAAGGCACACTTCTCCAGTTCAAAAATTGAGTCTGTGCTTAAGATCACTTTTTAAGCATAAGGCCCATTGTCATCCTCGCTTTCAACACCAGGCCCGAGAGGGTATCTTTCTCCAGCTTGTTGTAGAGGTCCGTTTAGCTATTAACGAGGGCAAGACAAAGTTTCTACTGGCAAAACACAAAAAATATTTGCGTTAGCAGTTTAAACCTCGAATTTGGTTAGTTCTACCTAGGAACCGGCATTAATGCCAGCACGTCAGCTTGGAGATGAAACGAAGGCAATTGAAAGCCAAAGCCATCTTTTGATGGACCAAAATCACGAACTACAAATCTCTCATCAGGTCTAGACTAGTCTGAGTAAATCTTTGCTGTATGAATGAGTTGAATATTTTTTTAAAACTTGAAAGATTTTGAATTAAGGCACTTAAAAAAAAAATTTATATTTCTCGATCGCTTTACAAAATCTACAACGTGCATGTATTAAAGTTTTAAAAACTCGACATGAAATTGCTAAAGAGCAACCACGAATAGTAAACTCGTAAACTCCAAACATCATAAACTACTACTATATTTTTATACGTATACATATTATGATAGTCTGAATCTTACGACTTAATAAATTTTCGTTTGAGTAATGAACTAAAGTTAAAAGAAGATTATAGACGCCATAAAAATATCTTACGTTTATTTATTAAAACACTAAAACAATAAAGCTCGATAGTAATGTTGCGATAACCGGGCAGAGAGGAATAAGCGCACAAGAACAGGAGCAGGAAAAAACTCGAGGGTAGCGGTTAAGGGGTATGGGGTAGGGGTAGGGGAGTGGCAATTAAGACAGTGGCAACACATAACACAGCCAGTTAAAGCAACAAAGGTTGGGTGGATGGTTTTCGAGTCGCAATTTGGGCTATAATTCGCTTGTAGCCACCAATATAACCAATAAAACCGGTGACTCCAAAAACCTATGTAGATACACAAACGTGCAGCATACAATGTAGACACTGTAGGATTTTATTCGCCAGCAAGCCATCGCGGGACTGAAGGTAATTTATTTGCTCATGATATCAAAAATACCATAAAAAATGCAAATGAAGCGAAAATTCACGCAAAAGCATAAAAATGAAAAAAAAAAAAATATAAGAGCAAAGTAAAAATTGTATGCCGCACATTCGCCATACAAATGTATAGTTGAATGGAAAGCACTGCCATGCAAACACCACGCACAATTCCTTCCCCCAAAAAAAAACTCCCACTCCGCTTAAATATATAATGGTGGAAAATGAAATTGGTGTGGCCTTGTGTAAGGATAATGAAATCAAGGAAGGAAAACATACCAAATTGGTCAAACAGACGACCGGCAATGTTGGCGACAATGAGTGCCAAAATAGTGACAAATGACTGAATGGCGAAATGTATGAATGAATAGTCGTAAATGAAAATGGCCATGTGGCAGCTTGAAGCGGCTTCGTCTTATCAGAGACTGGGTGTGGCAGAGTTGCAAGCTAAATACATACATGCATAAGTACCGAGGGTCAAAGTGGGGGTGTCGTGATGTTTTATTGTCTGATGACTGTTAATGATATGAATGTGCTGTGAAACGCAGACATAAGGCACATAAATGCCAGCAAATAAATTTCCTGCACTTGAAAAAAAGAAAGAAGTCAGGAAGAAATTATTGGGTCTGAAAAAAATTATAATTAAAGATTTTACCAGCAAATATCCAAGGATTGTTTTTTTCGAAGCATCTATATTCAGTGTTATAATTGTTCGCCATTTGGCATTCGCCTGTCATTTATAGCTTAATTTCGCAGCGAATAATGTAAACACATTTTATACATTGGAAATAAGCTGGCTAAGCAATTACATATAATTTTATTCAGTAATAGCTTAAATATTTTTTTTGTATTTAAAGTATCTGCTTGGATGCCAAATATATAGCGGAAGGCTGAAGGCTGAAGAAGTCCTTGCGTCTTTAGTTTTTTGTAGCAATTCACCAGTGAGTGGCCAAAAAATTAGTTATTTTGTACCCAGCTCAATCTTATCATGAATTCCAATGTTTGCACTAAGTATCCTCTTGTGAGGAAGAGGCCCTCTATCAATGGGTTGTACGACGGGGTTGGGATCCGCCACGTAAAACAAGCCAACAATGAAAAATCGAATTCGGCCTTGGGTGAGATAACCTTCTTTTGAGGCGCCGAGGGCCCTGCGACGTCTGCTACAACTGTCATATAAAGGGTGACAAATTCGGGGTTGGATTTGTGGTGGACGAGTGACTCCATCGCCGAGTACTGTCATTCAACCTAGTAGACGAGCATCTGGCCATAAGCTAGCTCAAAGAGAGATGGTTCAACATCTCACTCATCTGCGCCCACTCTCCTCAATGGCAGAGAAATAAGATGTACCCAAGGATTTCTTCTATGAGCACTTGGAAAGAAATAAAAATTATGCTTGTCTATGGTGGCTGGAAAGCAGGTCCCTCATGAGAGAGAACTGGAGACTGTTCCTGTTACTTTCGATATAGACTCCAAATCCTGTATTGGAGCCTTCAGTAAATATTCTACAATGTGTAAAGCCGGATAAAGTATTGGGATTAGGGCAGCACTCAGTCTCAGGAATCGTAACATTGTAGTGCCTCTTGCGAGAAAAAAGTTTCAAACAACACTGATTGTTTTTTTTGTCTGCGAAATTCAAAGCAAGTATGTCCTATTTAAAGTGGTATATTTAACAGCTACTTGGTAATTAACATTTTAGAAGGGGTCGTCTTGAACAGCCGGAACAACGACATGCTTGATCAAATTATACATTTATTTTAAGTTTTCAAAGTTAATCAAAAGCACTACGAGTGTTTTTGAAAGTACCCTAAAATGGAAATTGGCTCAAATTTTTGCTAAAAATGGCAAAAACGAGTCCGATTGCCTTAAGTTTAGATTAAGTCACTTCTAACGCGTGTTTCTTTTGTTATGTTTATATTTCCTAAGGCGATCAGAAAATATTTTTTATGTTAAATCAGTAAATGGAATATAAAGTCTTTAATCTGCTTCTGTAGCTACTTGGGTTTTTTATTTCCCCCTTCTTTGATCCCTTTGATCTGCTTTGCGAAATCAATTTTCAAAAAAAAAAAAAACAAGAACAAGAATAAAATCCAAATCAAACATTAACATTAAAGCTCTACACGCTGTAGCCGCTTATTAATCAATGTCCTTCTCTTACTTTTTTATTTTTATTTTTTTTTCCCCCCCCCTCAATTAGCATTTGCACTCACCAGCACCGGATGCAGATCCACGCCATACATATCGTGCCATTTGACTTTGTCTAAATAATTTAGCTCCGCCGTCGCCGGTGACATGCCCTTTAATTGCTGATGAAGTTCAGCGACACGTGTTTCCAGTTCGCTACTCTGATTCGGCAGCAAACGAAACTCGGACACATAGCCTTTGGAGTGGCGTCGTTGGTCGTAATCACCCAATTCAGCTGAAAATGAGAGGAAAATTTGAAACAATAAGTATGAGTGTTGGCAATGGGAGATAAATAATTATGATTATATGCTTTATACNCGTGTTTCCAGTTCGCTACTCTGATTCGGCAGCAAACGAAACTCGGACACATAGCCTTTGGAGTGGCGTCGTTGGTCGTAATCACCCAATTCAGCTGAAAATGAGAGGAAAATTTGAAACAATAAGTATGAGTGTTGGCAATGGGAGATAAATAATTATGATTATATGCTTTATACGTACACATGTTATAGGTATGTACATGTACATGTACATTTTTGATTTTCAGCTTAAAACAAAAACAACCGATTCATATTTATAGTGAAATTGCGTCAGTTTAAAATTTCTTTATACAAATTTGTATCTTAAAATATTTAATTTGTATCTTAAAATATTTTATTAAAACTTTATAAATGAAAAATATTTAAATATCCATATATGTCCTTATATAAAAAAAGTGTTTGATATAATAATAATTTAATTCGCATAATTTCACATAACCAAAATATTTGTTTATCTCTATCAAGTATTTCCATGCTTTTTCGCTCTAAAAATACTCATTAGGTGTTTAATGAACTTGAAAATGCTGCCAGCTTATACGCTTCGGTGGCAAAAGCGAGCTGAAAATGACTAACTACCAATACGATTCGGCCGTTCATGGTACTACATGGAATACATTCTCGCGCCTCATTAAGCGATTTTAATAAAATACAATAAATTTGTTAAGTCAATTGGTGCTTATTCGTATATTGTATAATGAGCCTGAACGGAATTTAATGGTACAAAGGAAATAAGTATGGGTTTTGTCCGCATAAAATTTAATGTCATTTATTGAAGGTTGTCGTTTGTGGACTTTTTCTATTAAAGTTAAAACGATTTTTTCCTTGGTTTAGTTTTGTTAAATAGGTTTTCGGTGACAAAAGTAAAGAAGGATATAAGCCCCTGAAAACAAAAACAAAAAAAAACAAATAACAGCGAGCTTATTTGGCCTCATCTTGAATATTTTATAATTTCATTAATTTATTTAGCATATATGCTTTAACTAAGTCACATCCCAAAGGTTTACAAATATGAGCTTTGAAGGCTTCAAAATTAAAATTAACAAGCCGGTGGTCTTCAGAGCTTTAAGGCATCCAAGGCATCTAAGGCAGTAGAATTTAGGTAGAAATAAAGCAGGAACTTGAAATTTAACTTGAAATGCTTGATAAAGCAGGTTCAAGTCATGTAAAGGTGGCTTCTACACCCTAAAAAGTGCATGTAAAACTACTACTGACAAGTGTTTATTTTTCAACCAGAATCTGTGTAAATATACGCAGAAGATTTTCAGGATTTGATTGTGAACATAAGATCTTTAAAAAATACACTCAAATATACATATGAAATGTTTAAAATTGTAAAAAAAATTAGAGAAAAAATATATTTTTTAATATTAATAAACATTAAGTGCTCATATTTACTAAATTTTAAACACTTTTTGTGTAAGTTTTCTTTACGTGACAAATTCGGTATGTAAAAGTAAACAGACAGTGCTTAATTTTGCACAAATTAGGAGACGAGACTGTTAACCTTTCTTTATATGCGTAAATTTAAACAAATATTTTTAGAGCAGATTTTAAACATTTTATGTGTAGATTGAGAAATTGTGAACAATAAATGTTTAGAAATTAACAAACAAATTTGAAATTTATTCTACGCCACACATATGATAAGTAAAAGTAAACAAGCAGCTTTTGATTTAATTATTACGTGTGTGTGTGTAAATTTGCATTCATGAAGAGAGGAAACTGGTTACCTAACTTAATATGCGCAAATTTAAACAAACAATCGAGTATTAAATATATGCGAACACATGCAGAAAAATTATGAAAATGCTAGAATACTCACATTGCACTACGAATGCGCCCAGCTCTGCAGCCAATTCGAAAGCGACTGGTAGTCTGCCTTGTAATACATCCTGTTTCACTTGTAAGAAGAGTTGATACCTGTAAAGAAGAAATTTGTGACAGTGGTTAACAGATTATAAAAAATATGTAAAAATTAATATTTTTCTGAGGCTATGCTTTGAAGTATTGAAGTGAAAACAAACATCTTGACCAAACCTGCAAATATACTGTCGATAGAATTACACTGAACCAACCAGAAGTTCAAGAACGGCAATGACGATAAACGCGGGTAAGGTCTCAACCGACGCATTCGAGCAGACGCCGAAAACAGACATTGCGATTTCAGAAAGTAACTTGAAAAAAGCGGCTAGAACAGTTTAAGATGGGCTCTCAAATTGGGTAATCGAAAAAACATTTCTAAAAAAAATTTAGCACAAGCTACTGACAGAAGATGAGGTGGAAAAGCGATTGGTCTAATCATTGCAGAGTGCCGACAACGATTGCACCATGATCATATCGCACGCGATCTTAAAAAGTGACAAAAATTTCAAAATTTGTCATTTTTGAAACTATGCGCAGAGCTTTTATTTACGATTAAAAGATGAATAAAATTTTTGTTATAATTTGTTGAAAAAACCTAAGATACAGTCTCCCTTGCCAATATGATTAACCTATAATTTTGAGTTGGGTCACCTTTAAGATCTTGTGCGATATGCATTCCTTTGCATATTTAGTAATTTTTGAAATTTTACGATTTTTTTATTTTTAATAATTTAAACGGTGCAAATGATCTTCTTGCCAAAATACATATAACTAATGTGTGATTATGTATGATTTAAGAAATTAAAATTTCATTTTTACAATTTTTATAGGCGCACTCGAAATTCATTCTAAAATTGTTATATATGTATGTACATCGAGAAAGTAATATATGTATATGTGCATAAGGAATACCGTGTAAAAATCTTCGACGCCAATATTTAATTACTTTTAAATAATATGACTTTTAAGTTAAGGCTTGCCGGCAAACGTACTAGACGACTGCTTATTGTGCTACGGGGCGTATACGTTACATACGCATTTAAATACAATTTCGTATTGGAATCTCGTTCTTTATACAACAATAATGCATTTTCTAAGATAAGCGTGTCTCCATTTCGAACAAAAACACGTTTTTTGTCGATAAATATAACAACTCGTGGGATTTGCTCATATACCGACTCCGAAGAACTCATCTTGTTTCATTTTATTTGTATTGGAAATTAGAAAACCCAATTGATTATAATTTTTCATCACAAAAATATGGTAATTTTTTAAGAAAAACCAACTATTTCATCGTTTTCAGCGTTAAATTGTGGTGTAGTTATAGAAAAATCCTTTTGCACGAATTTCCACGAAGCATTTTGGTGGCGTGTATGTATAATCCCCGCAAGTGTAGCTTATTAGACTAATTTTTTGTTGAACTGTCTATTTATTTAATTGACTATGAAATTTATGTTATTTCAATGTGAATCTCCTCCAAAGCGACACCTATTCTGATCAACTACTCCATCAGCGGATCTTGCCATAGTTAATAAATCAGTACATACGAGATTTGCTAATAATTGTAACTTCAGCCTCTTAGATTATTTTATTACACCTAGACTCAACCATGTTATGTGTTATCATACCTCTGTTAGAAACATATTTATGCATTGTTACTATAAGTCTGTTTATATGAATCAGTTACGTCAAAGCCTTTTAAGTGTGAATTGGAATGACTGTTAGTATCGTGATTCAGTAGACGAAAAACTTCTATTTAATAAGAACTTAACAAATCTTTTCGAAAATAATATTCCTCTTCGTATGGAACAAGCAAGATGGACTGCATCTTGCCCTTGGTTCACCAAACAGTACATTCGGCAAGAAGAGTTCGTAGCAGGCTATACGTAAAATGGAGATGACAAATGACTGACTTCGCCTGGTCTCAGTATAAAGCTGCTCGAAGTAAAGCTACTTTACTTATGCAGCAAGCAAAAAAGAACTACTGTGGTGCTAAATTGGACCCGTTACTTCCCTCTAAAGACTATGGCATGGGAATATGAACTCTGAAAGTGATTTAGGCCCTTTTATATTAAATAACTTATTTACAGCTACGAGTAGTAACTTAGGCACACCTAACACTTCGAAAGCTCTCTGGGCTGATACCTCCTTGGAAGAGAAACTTCACCAATAATCATTGCATCACGACATCATGCTTTTCTGTGCATTGGAAAAAATACGTCATACTACCAGTAGCAAAGAAGACTGCGCTTATTAACCCTAGCGATTATAGGCCGATCAGCATATTACCAGCTTTAGCAAAAGTATGTGAGTCCTTGATGGCATAGAAAATTTCATCATTCATACAAAAATAAAACAAATAGCTATCCCCACTGCAGTCTGGGTTTAGACTGAACCACAGCTGCTTTACTGCAATGATGGAAATACTTGACATTAGAATACAATTTGACTACAGTGACTTCCTATTTCCTATGCCTATTGGACTTCTCAAAGGCATTTGATTTGGTCTCTTATGTAAGAAACTAAATCACTTCTTTGGATTTTTGGACTGCGCATTAAAACTTATAATGAGTTACCTTGAAGTTCGGGTTCAAAAATGGAAGGGAAAAATGCTTTTTATACTTTTAAAGTTACCTCAGCTGGTATCCCGCAGGAGTCAGCTTCAACTTCCTCCCACAAAATTAACATTCTCTTTAATAATGTTAATGATTACCTTTCTGCTAGCAACTGCATATTTATTTATAAGTTATTAGAATGGAAATCCACAATGTATTTGTATGGGGAGCTAAGTCAAATGCAATCAAAGCGATGTCGCAATCTGATAATCCCGAAGTACAACTACTTGACATCGTCGAGGTTGTTTTTTTTTTATCAACGCTGTAAGACTTTGGAACAGCGTTCCTGAATCCGTTGAATCTGGCCTAAGTAGGAGCAACTATAAGTTGATCATATATAGTTACTTTAAGTCTATATAGTTGGTGTGATTTTGGTACATGGTTTTCAGTTCTCTCATCTGTCCCTTTTTTATTATCTTCGCTGCTAATCTCTATATCTTATTTACTCTAAAAGTTTACGCTTATTTTAAATTTGTATTCAAAATATTATGTCACTTATCTAAGTTGATGTACTCTTAAAAGATTATTGTCTTACTTGTACAAACATTGTTTTCGTCGATAAATAAATAAAATAAAAATTTAAGTTCCTTTATTATCCTACCACTTTTAAATAAATAGATCAATGCAAATACCATTGATAAAGATTTTATCGGAAGAAAATAAGTTTTAAAATAATTGCATTTGTTTTTAATTTATTTAAATATTCCACATGTGTACATATTCATTTTTTTCCCACCTTGTGATGTTTGATGAACACACAAGCGAAATGAAGTTTCAATATTTTTTTTTTTTAATCTACAAGTGAAACCGAAGTTGCACATTTTTCATTTTAAACGTTTTGAATTTTCCAATATTAAAATCTCTTTTTTCATTTTAAAACTTAAATTATTAACGCTTTTATTAAACCTCTAACCACAAGCAAATTAATTGCGTAGAGTTGATTGCGTAACAGTCGTTGTGAGACTGTGTTGCTATTTTAGACATATTTTTGTTGCTATTGTTGTGCAATTTAAGTGCAGTGCCAACACTCGAAGGACGCATAACAGTATAATCTCAAAGCATAATCAATTCGCAATCCAGCCAAATCGCAATCAACGCTAATAGGCCTAAAACAAAATAGGTACTTATATGCATATGAATGTATGTAGGATCATATTCGCACAATGCAACACGGACTTGCGCTTTCTGACGCGGTAGGAAAAATTAGAGCTAAAAAAATATCTCTTCGATTTAACAATGAAATTTGAAAGTCGGCCTCATGTATACATATGTTTTAACATGGATGTCTACTAAGAAGCCATTTTCTTTATAATGCTTTGTTCACACAGAGAAAAACAAAAAAACAGATTCGCACAAATGGAAGCCAGACGAGATGATTCAATTAGCACGGCCCTTTTTTATGGTATGGGCATCTATTTATTAATTGTGTTTGGTCTGTTACTGTACTCAACTCTAATAAAAGCTTAAACAGACGGCAGCGTTGATCCGGATTAAGTCGGAGTTACTACAGTTAATTCCCGAGTTGATCCGGATCAACGCTGCCGTCCGTTTATGCTTTAACTCAACTTAAATTAAAGAAGTATGTTTGTTTAACGGTTTGTACCTGGGTGAGTTTTTTAACGAAAGGTATTAGTGAACCCATACGGTAACAAACGGATCTCAGTCCCTATCTTTTGCTTATATGTATGTATGTAGTCTTTTACTTTGACTCAACTTTCTATTTCCCTTAAAACGAATAACTCGCAGTGGCTCTACTAAAGCTCCTCTCTTTCGAAATAGTTGTAGTCTAGGAAAATACTGTAATAGCCTATGGGTCATTAGGTGACTGTCACTCAAAAAATTTTATTAAAAAATTTTTGTTTCAAAATATTTGGATTTTCCTACAAGGTAGCCGACTGCTTTAAGCTTTAAACTTGCATCCACATAGGCGCATATGTATTTGTATAGGTAGCCGAACATGTTTATCATCTGCTTTATAATGTTGCAACATCCCACACCTACGCCGAGGTACCTTAGTTAGTCGCCAATTATTTGTTGTGCTTGCGATAAACTTCAACTGACAGGATATAACAATATTCTGCGTAAATAAATGCATTTATTGTCCACTGCATGAACATATGTATGTACATATGTGTGTTGTAATGCAGCCGACGACACCGTCGACACTTGATTGGATTGTATTTGATGTCGTACCAACATAATATATATATACATATATGTATGTACGAGTATTTATATACACACTCGGTAGTAACTCGCTCGTACGATAATGCGTCTAAATTCGCAGCAGACAGTAAATATTCTGAATTTGCAAATGGCTAGTCGATGAATTGGATTTATAAGTGCTTTTTAAATAATACACGCGCACACGAACATACATACGTATGTGTATTTAAAGAACTTTTATTACATATTATTTATATGCGTTCAAACGTCAATGCTTAATCAGTTAGTTGTCGTTTGAAAATAATATACATATGTATGTATGTATATTCACGTATTTTGATATATTCGTAAATATAGCTGCAGGTATGTATGTGTGGATATTTGTATTGCTACTCGTAAAACTTCCTTTGAGCTATTGTTTGTGCAGTTGTTGCCGTCATTCGCTTTTAATGCCAATCAAATGCGTCTCGAAAATATTTGCGTACACACTTGAGTGTGCTTCAATCGAAATTATTTGTTTAATTGCTATTCCTAGAAGCTTATTATGTTCATTAAAATATGCTTATTTTGTTTTGAAAATTTTCTACTTTAAATAATTGCCATAAAAGATGTGTACGTAATTATACATAAATGAATAAATGTCTTCTTAGGCATAAATTATTAAATGCACACACATTTGTTGGTTCGCATGCCAATTTAATTTATTTCAAGCCAACATTTATTTAAGCAACTTACACTTTGCTAATAACATATTTTACGCACATAAGTAAGTAGCTAAACATGAACTTTCATAAAAGTGAGTAATTTACCTACAAAGTAATATTATTGTAAATTTTTTTTTCAAGCGGCAATTTGCCAGCAAGAAATCAGCTGATGAAAAAAACCAGCTGATTGTAACTAACGCAATTCATAAAATCGAATTTTAGTGTTGGGGTCAAAAATAAAATATGGCGTTTTTTACTAACTCAACCGAGCCAAAAAAAAGTGTATTCGTGGAAGAAATGCGGATGAACTACCAATTAGGCTGACTACTTTTAATTGAACTATATACAAACTGTCAACTGTTGACACTGTTTCTGCTGCTAGAATACGCGAATACATCCTATATGACTGGCAAAATTACTTTCGTACGCATTTTTTTACAAGCTTTTATTTAGTTTCACCTGTGTGAAATTAAATCTTCGAATCAACCTTTAACCAATTTCCCGATGAGCTTAGATCAGAATCCGAGACAATGCGATATGAAATTAATCTGCTAGGTGGCGCAGTAGTCGAAATATTTGGAAAATCCATATTTATGGTCCGTTTTCGGTCATGCGGAGATCATGCGGAGATCGATTTTTATTGTCTTTAATATTTTTTTTAATAACAGAAAAACCCCACAAATGCTCAAGCCTACATTTCTGTAAAGAATGTGTTTAATAACTCCTTTGGTATTAACGTTATTGGCATGGTAATGTGCACGTACCGCATTACACTATTTGGAAGTTCAATGACGAATCGTGTCAGAAAGTTTGAAATTTCTGCGAACTAGGCGAATCAATATTACTAGTCTTTCAGTATGTCATCTACAATGATGCATACCCAATTCTTGTCAATTTTGGGGTTTAGACAATTTTTGCTCATATAATTTTGGCACTGGTAACGTTACACAAAACACTGGCTACGTTACACGTACGGTTCGCTTGAACAAGGTTTAACCCAAAGGCTTGGTTCAACCATTTTTTTTCGAATTCTTATTCTGTCATCATAAACAAATGTTTGAGCTAGTATTGCGAATCTTCTATTGAAGGAATAATAAAAACTATATATAATGCGAGTATCCTTAAAAAATTCCAACTAGGTCAAAAGTCATCCTACTGTGAAATTTTTTACTGGAAAATCTTCGTATTTTGTTCGCAAATAATATGTATTTAACTTTACTGCAAACATTTCATTAATTTGATGAAGAATAGAATGCATTTAGGAGCCTGTTGTTGGCAGTAGCGTCTAAACAAAGGCAACAGTGAAATTCTGACAATCGCCACGCTAAATTTCTATCGCCAAAATTCTCTAAATGAAAATCAGTGGGGACTACAAGCACGCAACATAAAAGTAACAGATACAATGATTGATTAACCAAAGATGATAGTATGAGAGGCATGTTACTAGGTGTTGCATATTGTTAGGCGCGATTGCTATTCTTTTGGAGACTTTTAGTGGTCAAAATTAGCGATAGTGAATGCTGGAATCCAGCTGCGGCAACGATTTCTTTTTTCTATCAGTATATTCCCTTGATTCTCTCTATTTCGTTGGGATTCTTTTCCAAATGGGCATTTCAATTCTATTACATGCGCCTCACCTTTTTTATGAAGTTCAACCTCCAAATTGTTTGTAATTGCTATTGTTAAAATTTTAATCTCAAAACATATCAAGACAAATTGTATGAGTTTAGGAAAAAGTTTTTTCTACTATTTTGTCCATTTACTGGAATATGGTATATTGGAAATACTTTTCTTCCATTTATTTTTAATAGTAATAGACGTAGTGTTGGAAGGAGGAATTAGGAAACGTCAGAGCAAAATAACTTTAGCCAGGGTTGTCCCCTATTTTATAAATATACATATCTTTATTTTGAATAAAATATAGGGAGGCGGCTGCTGTAGTCGAGTGATAAGAGATGCGTACTACAACTCCGTAGCATCAAGGTTCGATCTCAGGTCAATCTCCAACTATATTGCCTTCAAAACGCTTCTCTTAAAATGTCGTTCGTAGGCGTCGAAAAACTGTAGCTTACTCCATTTGTGCAACAACATTAAGACGCACAAAANGGTCTGCTGATCAAAGAGTTAGGAACCAAATTGATCACGTTGTGATAAACAGCGCTTTTGGTGTGCTTTCAATACGAAGAGCAGACAACAATGCAGAAAAAGGTGATAATGAAAAGCCAGATTAGAAAATAAGGCACCAAACAAATGGTTTCAAGAAGAAGAATCCACACTAGTGTATAAAGAAAAGAGAAGAGAAGTAATGTAGCTTAATAACAACAAATTATGTTCTGGCTATTAAATGGAATTTGGTTTGATGAAAATCTTCCCGAAGAAAAAAAAGTTCGGCAGGCAATTCTCTCTCTTGACAAAAAAGAAAAACTCTTTCATCATTACAGTCTATTTGCTGAAACGATACCTTAAGTAGGCAGTAATTCGTGGAAAAGGAATGAAACTGTCTGCTCTCGGGTTGCACAGCTAGCGCAACTTCACAAACGCAGCAGGCAATTGGTGAAGTGTTGTGTTCTCGGCTTCAGCCGATGAATAATTTACGGCAAAAAAAAACTTTCATCACTACAAATAGGTTTAAGCGAGTTAGACGCTTATATGCACAGATGCTGATCTATTCTTTCTTTAATATTTTTTGCTAACTATATTGTTATTTTATATTTTATTTTATATCAGTTACTTGGACTTACCTCGTAATTTCTTCGAGTAGCTTGCACGGATCAGCTGCATAGAATTTAACACCGAAATATAAATCATACGGATCCACTTTCGGCTTAAGTTGGCGTGATATCCGGGACGCTGGATCGAGCCAATGCTGGAAAGGAAAAAGAGAAACACAGTCTAAGGAAATACTTGTGGTAAATAATTATATTAAAATATACAGCACGAAAATATGTGTGAATATGATCACTTGTCATGCGAAAAACAAACTGTAGTGGAGTTACGTAAATAATAGTAGTACTTTCGCTTACAAATGCAGAAAGTCAAAGTAAAAATAGAAAATTGTACTAAAAGTACGCACTATGTGTGTAAACAAATATCACGTATACGCACCGTACGACATATGAAATACTCTTACCATAAACTAAGTACTTTATTAGACAGTGTTTCACACACGGCCTACCCTTTCTGCCCCGCTTTGGCGCATAATAAAATTATGGCTGCATAATAAAAGCATAAAAACAAGAGAATGCAAAAAGGTTGCCAAGATATATGAATTTCAGCGAAAAAGACTGAAAAGCACGCAAACCACGGCAAAGCTATACTATACAACTTTGCATATGTCGTGCATATATATTTAGTAGATACAATATTTTCGCATGTTTGTATGTCTTAAAGTATGTTTATGGAAGAACTATGTAAATAAATGCCAGCAAATAATAAAGGCTAAGCGAGCATAGTAAATTGTATTCCAAGAAACTTTTCAAGGACAATGCAAACATCCTCGCCGCCAGTTGAGTTAGGAAGAACTTCGCTGTCGTCTGGCAGTCTGATGAACTTTTCTTACACTAACTGCACCCCGTTGTGTGACAATCCACCATCGGCAGCTTTTGCGAAACTTTTCGCCTAGCACGCGAATATTTGTGTACGACCCTGGCATAAGGGCGAATAATCGCAAAATACTTAGCTGTTGCCTGCGTGTGGCATATTTTCAAGGTTCGCAACAAAATTATCTGCGAAAAAATGTGCGCTTGTCGTTTTTTTTCGCTCGTTGAAATAAGGGAAATGAAAAGTGAAATTCATTTTATATTTTCACGGCGCGCCGTGGGCAGACAGGTAGGTAAGTGTTCTTATTTTACCACATCGCGCGCCACAAACAATTGGAAAACTCTCCGCCTTGAAGGGAGCAGCAGCTTTTCACTTTTTATTTCATCATTACGGCTCAATGAACGTCCATGAAAATGCAAGAGAAAATGAATTACGACCTAAGACTGAATTCGCTGGTGTTTTGTTACCCAAAAAAAAAAATAAAAAAAAAATTTAAAAATAGGCAGGGGGCCTGAACTTGACAACGCAAGACATCTTCGTATTTTTATGTGTAAATGTATGTTTGCATGCTGTTTTCTTTTTCATTATTCTCTTACTTACCGTCTGATTCTCCTCGTCAATATAGCGTATGCCAAAATATGAAGTTTCGATTAAATTAAGTCTGGCAAAAACAACATCCAACAATGCTTGGCCCGGTAAATCATCCTGTAAATAAATAAGCAGAAAATGTGGTAAGTAAGGCAGATATTAGTTTACTTATAGATAGATATGTACATACATATGTATGTATTTACACAACGTGGTGGTAAATCATTGGCAGAAAAAGAAAAAAAAATTAAATGAGTTTCCCTTCCGCGGCAGCCCCAATAGAAAGTATTTGTTCAAACAAAATTCGTAGCTAATCAAATGGAAAATTATACGCACCTGCGTAAATGTGAGGCTGTGAGGGCCTGTCTGTTATGGATGAATTATTTTGGGCTCGCATAATGCCATATATCTGTGCATGTATGTATATATAAGCGGCGTACATAGCTTAGCGAAAATTTTGTTGTTATGATGAGGGTTTTTAAATAAAAAAAAGAGGCGAAAGTATACATATATATTACTAGCTTTATACACACATACATACCTATGTACATATGTATAGTTATGGTCACAGATCAAAATAATATTGTTTGTTTATTTTTACTAATTTTTAATTAAAATATAATTTAATCTATAACAGAAACCACATAAATACAAGTCTTAAAGCTTGCACAAATTTGAGAAAAATTTATCAAACTTCAAAAAATTTTCATCAAAATGTCAAACTTTTTAATAAAAATTTTTAGAAATTTTTCGGTTATGCAGATTTGCAGCCTTTGCAATTTTAGTTTAATAAAGTGCAAGTTTCAAGTAGCTAAAAATTACTCTTGATTTTGAAATTTTTTCTTGTTGCAAGAAAAAAAGTTTTAAATTTTGATGAAAATTTATTGAAAATCGATCAATATTTGCGAATTTTGTGCAAGTTTTGGAATTTTTATTCATGTTGTTTCTGTTATAGATTAAATTACATTTTAAATGAAAATTATTAAATATAAATAAATAAGCATCTGTAAGTTCCACCAATTTCATATCGAAGCTGTATGTATGTACATTAGAGTGGTCCAAAAATACATGCAGGGAAAAAAATAATGTTAAGCTTTCACCCCCTAAGAATTTTCTAAATGGAAAAAGAGAATACCAGTATTTTTTTGTTAAAAAAAAATTATATTTAGAATTGCCTCAAAGCCCATGAATTTTTCCATGTATTTTAAATAGAGAAAAAATAGTTTTTCATAGAAGTGATGTAAAATTATTGAAATTCAATAATTTTTCGATCGAAAAACTGTTTCTATCCCACAACAGTACCCAATTGTTTATTAAAAGAATGTTTAAAATAAGCTGTTTTTTAAAGGTCTCCCAAAAGAAAAAAAAAAAAAATGGGGAGACCATAAAAAGATGTTAGTATTAAAAAATGGCAAAATAAATGGTTTAATGGTATTATTAATGGAAGTCTCCTGAAGAGGAGTAGGGTTTTCCGATCGAAAAATATTGCTTTTCAGGAATTCTACACCATTTCTACGAAAAAGAGCTTTTTTCACATAAAATATATAAAAAACTTTATGGGCTTTGAGGCAGTTCCAAATATATATTTTTTTTTAACAAAAAAAATGCGAGTATCATTTTTATATAGAAAAATACCGGGGGAGGGGGAGGTTAAGACCTTCAAATTTTAGACCTTTTTTTGAACCACTCTTTGTACATACTACATAGACTGTCTAAAAAAATCGTTTATTTTTTTAAAACTCCCTTGTGAAATATTTTTGCGACGGTGCCATTAAGGTTTGTGGGTGCTCTTCAGGGATTTATATTTTCCATTTAGTCAGCGTCTGAATGGAAGTGCCAGTCATACAAGTATTAAATTTATCTACTCACATATTTCCAAATTTTCATGCAAGTAATAGTCTTATTAACTCATACAAGTTATACTTTTTCATACAAGTAATAAATGTATCAATTCATATAAGTACATTAGTTTTTCATACAAGTAATTGTTAATTAATTCACATAAGTTCCAAATTTTCATAGATTTCCTTCCTAAACTAACCTAACCATGGGAGATGCTCAGGCACTTTTTAAAAGCAAAAAATCGTATCCCATTGGTAAGTAAATAGTTATTTCTCAATAATTGTTCGAAAACCCTCTAAAATGTGTTTACAATTTTTCAGTATCTTAGAATGCCCAACTAATTTATAGAAAATAATTTTTGAAAGACTTTTGTGAGTTTTATTTAATTTTCCAAAAGATTAACATAAGACTTCTTGCTCAGACCGAGACCATGCAATGAGCGGCTTTTATTTCTGAGCGGTGCGCCCAACCATTCAGAAATGCCACTTCAGTAGTATTTCATGCTTTAATTTAAAGCCGCTCACAGCTCAGCCGTTCATTGCGTGGCCTCGGCCTCAGTAGGGCCTAAAATTGTAGGCGGACCAGCACCAGCATTTGTGTCGTTTTGTGTCCTTGCATCCGTCGCGGTAACGACAAGAAGGGACAGTCATTGAATATTTCTGACAAACATCTCGCAATTCTCCTCATGAATAGACCATTCATGAGTGAAAATTAAATATTAAAGAACTGTCCGTAAAAAACTGTATGTGTCCCTTTATAAAATGGAGCTCTTTAAGAAGACGAGAATAGTTTAATGTTTTTCTACATATACTAAGTATACCATATCCTCGAAGGCAATCACAATAAAAACGGAAACCAAAATAAACAAGAATTATCACCGTTATAATTTTATTTCCACATTACTTGCACCGCTACTCCGACAACTGTACAAACAACACATTGTAGGCACAACCAAAATAGGATCACAAAACCGTCGAAGGACATCAAAAGTGCCGCTGGAGTAAATGGCTGTTGTGGCTTTTAGTGACAACTGGAAAAATGNGACATCAAAAGTGCCGCTGGAGTAAATGGCTGTTGTGGCTTTTAGTGACAACTGGAAAAATGGTATGCCATACAAGGAAAGAAACAGCAAAAATAACAGTAAATAACCGGAAGTGAAAAAAACAACAACAAAAATAAAGACCAGCATTGTTGGCAATTCGTATGTATGCAGCGGCGTATGGTGGAGTTTGAACTAAATACAGGGAGAGGGAAGAACTTTTGGCGCACTTGACGGAAGAGGTGTAATGAAAAGGCTAACGTATGTACATACATATGTATGTAGTGAGCAAAAAGCTTAAAAAAGGCGTTCTTGCATGTTTGTTATCAACAAAGGGGTAACCAGAGTCATTACTCATGGCAGTGGTATTTTGCTGGGGAGTGTCCACATGCTATTAAGTTCAAAAAACTAAATTGCTTCAGACTGTGCACAAAAAATGTACATATTGTTTTTATTCTTTATACACACGCATTCCATGTACATATATATGTACATGTATGTGGCCAGGATTGCGTAGACAGCAATAGACAGCATTTAGAAAGCCTGAGGGTGCCTATCCTTTTAAGTTTTTTCGTGGGTTGGTTTCCATAGAAATTTCTTATTTTATATATTTTTTTCATTTCCGCTAAAGAGACACTAACAAATGTAATAGCTTACTACTTGACATTCACTCATTTATCAGCTGCTAAATTTCATGTTATACATACAATGTAAGTATGAATGTAAATATGTATGCGCATAGCTTGAGTTAATTTCAAAAAAGACTTGATTAAAAATTTAAAAAGTTTTTAAAGGATTTTTTGGCTGTAAGGAATTTTGAAAATAAAAAAAGCTTAAAACGTGATTCCAAGAAAATGAGCATTATCATGACAAAAAAAAAATCAAAAAAGGCTATGACAGCGTTAGTATTTCAAGGGTGTATTAATGTCGCAAGCTCCAATTATATATACAGTGAGAATATGTAAGTATATCGATGGCTGAGTGTAAGATCGACCTAAATGTCTGGGCAGCCGGTTCGAAAACGTCCAATATCAGAAAAATTTTCAACAACGCTCTACTTCAGAATTCGGTTCAAAAATGGCCTATCTCAGACGAAAATACATTGAAAATCAGCTGAGATGGGGCTTCCTTCAATCAAATTCTGATTCAATTAAATTTTCTAACTTTATTTATGTTTTCTCAAGCCAGTGCAAGCTAGCCTTCAGCTCAAACGATTTCGAATAACTTTTCCCAATTTTCGAGTAACTTTGACAATCGAATTCGGATTATGTTATTGCTCGTAACCCTTAATCGAATATGGGTATGTAGTAAGGAAAATCCATTTTCGGACGAAAATACTTTCGAATCGATTACACAACAGCCACCTAGGTTAACATACGTTTTTATTTACATACATATTTACTACTGAGCGAGAAAAAATATTGCGTGTATTTTCATAAATTTTAAGTCCATACATAAAAGCACAACACGAAAATAAACACAGGAGGTATGTAAAACGCTAGTTGCAAAATCTTTTATGCCTATAAAAAAATTCAATTTTTATTTTTTAGTTTACAGAAAAACAATTAAAATTTTGCTTGTATACATGGAGCCTACAGCCACTTTATATCTTTCAATATTTATTTTTTATTTTGTTAACTGGTTTTCGGTTTCACTTTGCTTTTTTTTTTTCGTTATCAAATTTGCACATTTTTCAAAAGCATAAAGCGATTAATGGTAAAAGTTTAGAATTTTACTGATTTGTTGTGTAGAAAATAGCTTTTGTCTCCTGCAGCGATAAACGGCATTCAATTTGGCTTTGTAGTGCAAGCCACTAGTGGACGTTGGATGACGCAAAACTTAGAGGAAACCATTTTGTGTGTGAAAATAATGGCTCGCTTTTTATTGTCTATTTTATTATGAGTCATTTCAGTTTTACAGAGTGCACAAGAATGCTTGCGGAATAGATGTGTAGTATACCCGTCAGCTGAAATTACAACATTGTTAATATTCGCTAGTTCCACTGAATAAAAATTTCATAAATATAGTTAAATTCCCACTAATATTTTTTCGAGCGTTTTTAATTGATATATTTTGTTTATATTAGCAAAACGAGCTTTAAAGTGCTACATAAATATATTAGTAGCACAGCTGAAATATTTTACTAATTAATCAGTACTAATTTTGGCCTCTTGTTTCATTTTTCCTAGCTAAGCTCTTTCATCATTAATATTTAAATTTAAAATTTTAGCATACT